AATTGATGTAATACTTTCTCATGATACGAAAAGAAAATACTTTCTTTAGCAATAACAAATGGACAAACGATATGTTGGCTTACTTTCAGCTAGATTAGTTACTTTTCATAGATATCCTCATGTCAATTCAAAGACGATGAACATGAAAATGATCATCACATGAAACATCACAAACTAAAAACCTAATAAACAAGTTTATATCGAATATAGAAATAAATTTAGTGTTCTTACCTATTATCGTCCAAATCCACGTTAATAGATAATTTAATTTTTGATTTTTATCTTTTATTTTAAATATATCTTTCTGAACTACTGGTTTTAGTAATTATTAAATTAAACCACGGTGCAAAAGTAAATGGCAGGGATTTGGAACAAGAACTGCCAAATCCTGCTAATCAGAGGGCGCCAAATTGCCGATTTAAAATACGTGGGCGGGAGTAAGAGGAAGGAAACGTTTCTCCCGCCAATCTGTCCTAATTACAATATTTCGTCATTTCCTTCCCGGCAGCCATCAGTGCCTAACTTTGTCTAGCTGCTGAGGTAGCTGTGCCTTTATGTAGGCTGTGGAGTAAATGTAGTGTTCATTCCCAAAGTAAAGACGCGCGGCGTTGTGCGCCCGGCCCTTTATAGTGTATTATTTTAAATTAAAAACTTTTTATTTTGTGTATCCATTTAGAGTGAATTATTCTTTATATGTAAGTACCTAGAAATTAGTTTTATAATAATATAACCTGCTCGATGTGCCATAGGTTAGGCTAGGCTATCTGTAAATTTTGAAATGGCTATCGATGATAAGGAAGATTGATATTCATTAATTGGTTAGATTTACTAATATAATTTATTAATTTTAAATGCCATCAATTGTCATTCCTAAGGTGGCTTTGATGCAGCTTTTCGTAATCAGACATGGTACAATATGATCGAAAAAAACGAGCGTCACCGCTTGGCTGAAATAAAATATCGCTGTCATTCTCTCTCTATATGTAAAATTATATGAGGAACGTCATCGACCGCGCGTCATTTCCAAGCCAACTTGACTTCGTTTTTCTGATCATACGGTATTACTTTGGTATTACTCATGTACCTAGGTATAGAACGGAAAACAAAAAAGAATACAAAAATAGTTGTATATATATATATTTTATCCGAGCAATAATTGTAATGTTTCTAATTTTTAGTTGCCTATAAATTTAATGAGCCGCATTTGTATTGTAAAAATTTCGAAATTCACGAAAAAGAAAATAAATAAAAATTTATAACAAAAAATAAATGATTTTTATTATAAACTTCCTTGTAATATCTGGTATATAATCAATTCACATGTGTTATTATCATACACCTATTATTAAGTTAAATCTGATAGTACTTTTTGATTTTGGTATAGAAAATATTGTAAATGTTATTTTTAACCGCATGTGTATTGTTTAACAATTATAGACTAGATATTGTTTTGGCAAGTATATTAAATCAAACATCTTTACAACATATTTTTAAAAAATAGGTATTGTATAAGATGTGTTTATTTTAAATTTACTTGAAACAAATTATCTGGCATAAAATCATCCTAGTTTAAAACATTGTGAAGTGATCGAAGGAATACGGCTTCAAGTTAACTTCTAGAAATGACTATTGATGACATTAACCATCAAGTAATCATCCTTTACAAAGAAAACGTTATCGACTGTCATTTTTAAGTTAACTTGAATCGTTGTTTTTCGAAATTATTGCGTATATTAAATTAATTAGGTGTAATATAATACTATAGATGGCGCTGCTAAAATTTCATGTTTTGAATGCAACGCAGATTCTTTTAAATTTCAATTGCAGATTTCTTTTTTTAAATTTAATTTGTAGTTCTAAATCCGTGTCATAGATGGCGTATCAAAATGTTGTCCTAATTTTTTGTACGGAAGATTTCGTTCTGTTTTAATCTGTTCTGTGAATTAAACGAACTAAAAAGTCAAAAATAATAAACAATTCTCTTGTCAATTGTCAATTTTCTCCAGGCACCGAACATTATCGATAACGCACGATCTACGACGATTACTCCTTTGATCTGATTGGACGGTTCAATGACGGTTGGTTGCGTATTTTAATGTATCCTTTTTTTTTGTCAATATATACCGTATGATCGAAAAAACGGCGTTCAGTTGGTTGGGAAATGACGATTGAGGACATTTCCCATATAAAATGACAGCGATCTTCATTTCATAGTCATCGCTGACGCTATTTTTTTTTCAACCATAGTACGCCGGTATATTATTTATATTATTATTTTAATATTTCGCACAACACGTAAACGCTTATTATGTATTTTCAGTCAATAAAATTAAATAGAAATAAAACACTAGATTCCTATAATTAATCTAATTGCTCTAGATTATTATGCTACGTTAAAAAACGGCTTTATTAAAATTCGGGAAATTAATGTGAAAAATAAATAAAATTTATAACAAAAATAAATGATTTATTATAAACTTCTTGTAATATCTGGTATATAATCATTCACATGTGTTATTAATCATACACCTATTGCTTAAGTTAAATCTGATAGTACCCTTTTGATTTTGGTATAGAAAATATTGTAATGTTATTTCTACCGCATGTGTGTATTGTTTAACAATTATAGACTAGATATTTGTTTGGCAAGTATATTAAATCAAACATCTTTTACAACATATTTTTAAAAAATATATTGTATGGGGGATGCTTATTTAAATTTACTTTGAAACAAAATTATCTGGCATAAAATCATCCTAGTTTAAATATTGTATGATCGAAGAGCGTTTCAAGTTAACTTAGAAAGTTCTGACTATTGATGATAATAACCATATAACTCTACAAAGAAAATGTTATCGATCGTCATTTTTGAAGTTAACTTTGGAATCGTTGCTTTTCGAACATACGGTATATTAAAATTAATTAGGTGTAATATAATACTATAGATGGCGCTGCTAAAATTGCTTTGAATGCAATAGATTTCTTTTTAAAATTTAATTGGTAGATTTCTTTTTTAAATTTAATTTGTAGTTCTAAATCCGTGTCATAGATGGCGTATCAAAATGTTGTCCTTACTTTTGTGTATGGAAGATTTCGTTCTGTTTTTAACTGTTCTGTGAATTAAACGAACTAAAAGTCAAAAACACAATAAACAATTCCCTCTTGTCAATTAATAATTTTCCAATGCTGTAGCTCCATGTCATGTTCATAATAGTTTTTTTTAACATTCCATCAAAACGACGGAGGCCTTAAAAGGCCTTTTAGCCTCCGTAATTAAAATTGTAGAATCAGCTTCAGCAACTTTAACAGTTACCTTGTTTAATTCTGCTTATACATATATTGCATTTTTCTGCTACCTTAAGATTTCTCTTTTCTTAACCTAATTTATGTGATTTTCTTAGCATATATGATTTATAAACCATATTTTTCCTAATGGAAGGATGGAATAGGATATGCAAAATTAAGATATTTTAACATTTATTTTCCAGACAAAGCATAATATAGTATTAAGATTAAGACATAACAAATATTATAAGAAAGATCTTAATATAAATCACAAACTAACTAAGTCTTAATTTGGTCTTGTATAAAGATCAAAACTCAACCTTCACCATATTGTCAAGATTTGGCATTATAGGAAACAAGAAATTACAGTAGATTAAGAAAAGAATATCAAAGTACACGATATTAAATACTGTAATGTATTCTACGACACAAACCATCTCCCTTCTAAAGAGAAAAAGATAACATAAAGCTTATTTTAGTCTTATCACCACACACTTCGATAAAATATATGTCTAAAATTGCTATTAATCCGCTAACTTGATATTTTTAAGAAATTTTGATACAAACATTTTAATCAAAGTATATTATATTAGTAAAATTATAGGTAAAATCACAATAAAATGTTACCTCTATCTCCCATTGACGTGTATTGTTCTATAAGACTCGTCATGGTAGTACTTCAATACATCAATACATATAATCAAAACTATTGTTGCCTGTAAATAACTAGAAATTAAATAACTTGAAAGAAATAAAATAATTCTAATAAGTTAACCATTAAGAAAATATCCGTTAATGATAATTTTTAATTCTAATGTAAATATATAAATAAATGTTATTATTATTACAATTTTATATATCATTCCTTAATTTTGGATATCAAGATAAATTTGAAATTATAAAATTAATTATAGAATTTGTATTATTATTGATTAACACTCAAAAAAATTTTTAACTGCAAATAATGCGAAAATAAACTGCAATTTGGCAACATCGACGATGTGCGCTTGCGTAGTATCGATGATCAAATGCAGCAAATATGGGCTTCAAGGTCAGCCACCGGATCCACACCTTTACCTGTTTTACTATATTTTTGTAGGTAGTTTTTGTGTAGTTTTTGAAGGTAGTTTTTTAAATTTTAAAACGTAGTTGATACAAAAAACTACGCGTAGTTTTTGGCGTAGTTTTTTGCTTCATAAACTACTTAACAACCCTGATGGTGAGGCTCACGTGAGCAGGGTTCGGAAGTAGTTAATTAAGACGTAATTTACCTGATTAACTACGTGTAGTTTTTCTTCAAAAACTACGTCTTTTCGCGTTCATTAGCTACATGAAAACTACGTTAATAAACTATGTATTGATATTATGAATAATTTTCCTTTTTATGAGGTGTAATAGAGATAATATGATGTAAATATTACATTTAAAGCCATATTTCTTCTGTTTTCTTAAAAATATTATGTGTTTTTAAAGCCTCAACTGATTATAAACTCACCTCAAACCTTTGATATTTGAAAGTTACATACATAGGTTACATAAACTACACCCTCTACATAAACTACATGTAATGTAGTTTATGTAGTTTTTAAAACTAACATGTAGTTTTCCGAACCCTGCACGTGAGGCTCACTATATTTGTCGTACATGCCCGTCCCTGATCCTGATGTATTTTGATATTTTTTTTTTCTATGGTGACTGTTTGACAGTATTTTTTTGGTCAATGAAGAATAAATTTTTTAAATGATAATCTAACCTCATTATTTTAATATGTTTCATATTTCTATTCCTCCGATTATTAATGTAAATTTATACACTATAACTGTTATACGAAGGTATGCTACAACAAATAGTGGGAATATTGCAAAGAAACTTTATAAACATCTTTTAAAAGAGTGTCATAAATTACCAAAGGGTCCAAAGGAACACTACATATTTATGATAAAACAAGTAAGATAAATATATAGAAAGACACTAGTATCTCTGCTAGTATTATCAGAGAAAAGATATAGACACAGGCCAAACATATTATTACAGTTTTAATATACGTAGGTATTTTAATATAATGAAAACTAGAAGAATAGAGTGCTGCATTAGGTTTTTTACATACCATATTTTAAGAATTTAATTTCAAAGACTTTTTTCTTGTTTTTTACAGAGTTTTAAGCAGCATGTAAATGAAAGTGATCCAGAACGAATTAAACAAATAATTCAAAGATCTTACGAAGACTGTGAGTGGATTTTAAAAAAGGTTGTAGTTGATTATAGGAGTAATTGATTTCTTTACTAATTGGTTCCTTTTAGTATCTTGGAAAATAAAGTAAAATGTTTACTGTTCCTTTAGTTACCAGTTCTGAAATTATTCCCAGAGAAAAATTTTGGAATGCCATTATGGTGTATCATAACAGACCTCATTTGATTAATCGTAGAATTACTGCAGTCTCTCAAGTTTTATTTCATGAAATTGGATTTCATTCTTGTGTTAAGCTACAGGAGTTGATAAATAGATCAAATATCTTATATGAACTTAGAAAATTAGAAGAGATCAATGTGAATGTCATAACAGAGGGTTTTTTAAAAGAACTTATTGGACCTTATGATAAAAATATTGAGATCAAAAAGAAGACATTAGAAGAATTTAATAGAGCTGATACTGGAGTCTTTGTATCTGTAAGAATTTTATATCCCAGGCTAAAAAACTGTCCTAAAGCTATTGAAGTGATAATTATAGATAAAGCTAGTACAAAAATCACATTTTTAAGTGTTACAGATTCTGAATCATCTATTGCACCAGTGTTTCCTTATGAAATAGAATTAACACAGTCATCAATCTTAAAAATAAATCTTCAATCGTTTGAAGATGCAGATACAGCCCAAGCAGAATGGTTGGCTGAGAAACTTTTTACCAAACTATTAAAATGGGCTGAGTGTTTAGATGAAACAAAGGATAATGTAAAATCTTTATCTTTAGTAAATGTTGATGAATATTGCCTAACTTATAGTGCATTGAAACAAAAATATGGCACAAAGTTGGTTCAGGTAAATAGAACAATTGACTGGGACTTTATTATATTTTGTTTTTTTTAGGAATGGCCAAAGAGATGCAGAACAGTAGCTCAGAAGTATGTTTTTGAAGACATTGCTATTGCAAGTTATCTTGTTTGTTTGTGGAAAGAAAAAAATATTGTGAAATTTGTAGATTGTGGATGTGGTAATGGGCTTTTAGTTTATTTATTAAACGAAGAAGGGTATGAAGGATATGGTTTAGATATCAGAAAACGATCAATATGGGACTTTTACCCTGAAACTATTAAGTTGCAGGTATTAAACGAGTAACAAAAATGCGACAATTAAAAAAAACATTTGGTTTTAGCTTAAGCCAGTAACACCCTCTTCTGTATTTCCTGATGCTACTTGGATTATTGGCAATCATTCTGATGAACTTACACCATGGATCCCTGTAATTGCACTGAAAAGTAGCCCACAAACAAACTTTTTTGTTTTACCCTGTTGTCCCTATGATTTTAATGGGGAAAAGTTTGTTCGAGTAGATTCTTCTATCAGTGCTTACTCAGATTACTTGAAATACATCGAAGATATTTCAGTGAGGTGTGGTTTCAATGTAAATATAGATAAATTAAGAATACCTTCAACAAGGAGAACTTGTATTATTGGTTGGAGACAAAACCTAAATGATAACAAACATAAAGAAATATTATCTAGTATGGAGATATATCTAGGGAAAAAAATTCCTAATCAAGTTTCTCAAAGACAAGCTACAGAGAGAGTAAGAAATTGCACACAACTTGACAAATCATTAATATCAAATATTATTGAAGCATGTGTGAAAAAGTTACTTTTAACAGATAACTGGATAGTAAAGTCAAATGGAGACAAGTGGAACAAAGGTGGATCGTTTCCTCTTCAAGAATTAGTTAAGACTGTGCCTTCAGAAAATTTAAAACAACTGAAAAATGAATGCGGAGGTCTTCAAACATTATTAAGAAATCACAGATATATATTTCAGTTAGAGAATGGTTTAGTTAGTCTAAGAAAACCCTTGAATATAAATGAAAGTTCTAAATATAAGGAAAAGGCTTGTTGGTTTATAAAAAATCACCCAGATGGTTGTTTGTATGATATTGTTGAATGTGGCTACTCTCATAAATAAATAGTTTGAATAATATTGTTTTATTCTCCTGAATCATGTTTTTATCCAACTTATGTACATTTCAAACTATGTACAATGTACATAATTCAATATTACAGTTTGAACTTTTGGAATTACAACAGTAAAATAACACCAGTTTACTGCGATACACCAAAACACACTATGGTACACTTTATTAAACTCAAGATAGGGTCTATAGTGAAACTTTTGAATAAAAATATTAATTATTTTTTATTCAGAGTGAAACACTGCTTATTGTCTACAATATTTCAAACCACTACACTCCATAAATAAAATATTGAAAGTCAGTTTTTTAAAACAAAGGGATAGCATTTTTGAAACGGATATTTAAAACTCTGTTTAAAATGAATAGTGTTGGTTGCATACAACCATAAAAAATACTTTTGATTTTATTATTTTAAGTAAACATAGCAGAACAGTATGCATTATAAGACCTATGTTTATAGTTAAAATAAAAGCATTCTATATCAAAATAAGGATCTATTCTTGAAAAAAAAAACTATAGACATTCAAATTTTATTTATAAGATACAAAATCTGAATATAATTAACCTAAATTATTCCAATTTTGTTGGCTACATCTAGAGCATCATAATCCCTAGCTAACCTAACGTATGCCTTCTTTTTACCATCGGGCCTGATCAATGTGTTCACTTTGGCCACATTAATATCATACAATTTCTTAACGGCTGCTCTAATGTGGTGTTTATTAGCAGTTGTATGAACCAAAAATACAAGTGTATTATTATCCTCAATTTTCTTCATTGCTGCTTCAGTTGTTAGTGGGTACTTAATGATATTATAGGCATCCATTCTGGATCGGGTTGGTACACTTTTTCTGTCATATTTAGGATTACGAGGAGGCCTAAGAGTTTTAGGTCGGTGAAAATGAACTGAGGTACGAATTTTCCTTACATGAGTACCATTGGGTCCTTTAATAACCTAAAATCAAGGATATTTAATATGTTTCAGTCTCAATAAAATATACAGGTATACTAATTGAAAATATATTACTGAAATCAGATTTGTGTTATGAATATCAATTCATATAAATAATCAGAGAGATTCCCACACAACAATCATCATAATAAATGATATTCTAAAACAATAGAAAAAAAAACAAAAATTACCTTCTTCCTTATATGAAGTGCCTTAGCAACAGCTGGGGAGGATTGTGGGGCAGCAGCTTTTTTGCCAACAACACCTTTTTGTTGTTTAACAGGTACATTACGCTTAGGCTTAGCCAAAAGTGGTTTTGGTGGAACCTTAGCTTTAGCAGCTGTAGGTTTTGTTGCTTTTTTACTTGCCGCAACTTTTGCTGCTGGTTTTCCAGTAGCTAATAAATAACATTAAAATCAAATACAATACACTGAAAACTACCATATCAATATAACTAACCTTTGGCTTGTTTAGCTGAAGTTTTAGCAGCGCCAGCAGTTTTAGAAGCGCCAGCAGTCTTAGCAGCCTTGGCAGCTTTAACGGGACCTGGTTTGCTGGCAGCTTTTTTTTCTGCCGGTTTAGCTGTGGGCTTTGTTACCTTAGCAGCGGCTTTGGGAGCCGGTGCAGGGGTTTTTGATGATCCGGTAGCACCTGAACCGGAAGGGGCAGAGGACGGTTTCTTTTTTTCCTCTTTTTTTGCAGCTAAAACAATATTGGAAATATAATTCAAATAAATATTAAGAATAACTACAGTTATGATATCATAAAATACAATAATTTTCAGGACAATTTAGTTACTATAAAGTTGGAAAAATATAAGAGTGTTTACCATGTGGCAGTATGTCATGTCAATAAGGTTAAGAGAAATTAACATCAAGTTTTTGATGGGATTTGCATTTAAACTGAGATTATTTGAAGATTCTTTTTGAAGCAATCATGTAGTAGTAATTTTTTTATTTATCGCTTCATATTTTAGGAAACTTACCGGGCTTTTCCGCTGATTTTGGCTTTGGAGGAGCCATTTTCTCAAAAATTCACACAAAAAGGAAGTTAACCTTACTTTTGAAATGACAGATCGCTGACAACCGGAAGATAAGTTATTTTGATAAATTCTCATTCCACTTCCACTCTCGCAATATATTTATCTTTTTTTAGCTGGGTAAATAAAACAGAGATAAGAATACGGATTGGAGCCTAAAACGCCTAAAATCTAAAGATATTTTTTAAAGTAACTAACTACAAAATTTGGCGGGCGAATTTTAAATTTTAAAATTGATCAACTCTGTTTTTTAGCTATAATTTTTAGATCGCCTTAAACACAAATAAGTAAAAGCTCATAAATTGTTTTCCTATTACCCAATTGGATTTTATTTTTCTAGATTCTGTACAGAATTTTATATAAAACCAACCCTTAGAACTGCCACTAGTAATGATGGTGGCACGCTTCATTTATCTTAAAAATACAAACACAATTTGCACTCGATCGCCATACCCCAACCAATTTTAGTTTTTCGAAATATGAACGATTCCGTTCCAAGAAAACAAATATTAAATAAATATGTTCAGCCTTATAATATTGATTGCACTCCCTATACGGCAAGCAATTTCAGTAATAAAGTACAACAATATTGTTTGACTCAACCAAATGAAATAAATTTTGCGTTTGATACATTGAAGATGTGTAAAGTTATTGTTATTGGAGACACATGTGTAGGAAAAACAAGTCTTATTAATAGGTCTGTGTTTAACAGTTTTAATATATACCTTATATATATTTTTAAATTATTATTTTTATTTAATTTTTAGATTTACAAAAAAAATGTTCGAAGCCAATTATAAATCTACAATAGGGGTAGATTTTGAAATTGAAAAATTTTTAATTTTAGGAGTGTCTTACTCTTTGCAGATGTAAGGTTTAATAATTGTCTACTATTTTTGAAAACATGTTATTGAGAGTAAAATATATGTAATCTCTATATGCACATTTTTTAGATGGGACACTGCAGGTCAAGAAAGGTTTAAAAGTATAGCACAGTCATATTATCGTGCCGCACGGGGTAAATGTGTAATATATCTCTCTAAAAATATTAAAAAAAAAACATTTATATGAGTTAAATATTATATATAAATTATGGGTAATACCAAATTATGTTTTAATATACACTCAAATGGGGCACGAAAATTTTTTGTGCCTTAAAATTTTGACGTGTTTTAAAGTTTTATATATATTTTATTCTAGTGGACCGATTTTGATGGTCTTTTGAGCAATTTGTGGCTAGATTATTTGACTGTTTAGTATCTCTTTCTAAATAAAAAATGAAATTCCCATCTGTCAATTATACGAGGGAACACAAAATGTTAAGAACGAAATGTTAAAAGTTAGGAACACCCTGTGGAATATGTTAAAAAAACAAAGAATTTAAAATTTATTTTATCATCTTGGTGCATTTTTTCTCAATAATTTACTTTTTGATTCATCTCAATAGCTTTTATTTTTTTTTGGAGATATTCGTTTTTGAAGCAGACGCCTATATGTACCAGATTTTTAAATTCCTTGCTGTCTTAACATATTCCACAGGATGTTTCAAACATTCACCAAAATATCAACATTTTGTTTTCCCTCGTATAATTGGCAGATAGGTACTTTTTTCATTTAGGGAGAGGTACTAAAAAGTAAAATAATTTGACTACATATTGCTTAAATATCATCAAAATCAGCTCACCAGAACAAAATATATTAAACTTTAAAATACATCAAAATTTTAAGGTGTCCGTTTTTCGTGCCGGTGAATATACAGGGACCGGCAAAAGTGGATCGGAGATCTGTAGCTCCTATAGAATAAAAAAACTTGACAAATTTGGGCATTAGTGGGCATAATTTGAAAAATGTTGGTATTTAATTTGTATTTTTGGCATTACTTTGGCATTAGTGTACAGATATTTGTCAGCGGTTTACCCCTTGGTGCAAACAAATGTGCAAACGTAAAGTGTGTACGAGGATGTATTTCATAAAAATATTTAACTTCTATAGGGTGGCTCAAAAAAGTGTGAGTGGGATGATTTTTTTAAATGGAACACCCTGTATATTATTGCATTTTTCGCTTTTTTTTTCACATCACTTTATATAATCCTAAGATATGAGTAAATATATTTTGATGATTTCAGAGATATTAATAAATAAATAAAAAACATATACAGGGTTGTTCACCACATACGACACGGAATATTGTAGCTAAACGACTAGATTTTTACAAATTGTAAGTTTTAGGTCCGTTGAAGGACTATTAGAGCTACAATTTAAAAATATTTTTACAAGATACAGAGTGTCCCAAATAAATAAAAAATATCAAAGTTGTATTTTTTGAAATGGAACACCCTATATATTATTACATTTTTAGTTTCTACGATTAAAATAAAGGTAAATTTGATTAATGTTTATTACACTTAAACCTTACCGTTTTTGAAATATTTTCAATTTTGTGAAATTGCAGTATTAATTTTAAGGCTTCATTTCTCCGAGGGTATCAAAGTTTTTAATACTAAATATTTACTGAAGTTTATTTATTGATCGGTTATTGTGTTGCAAAAATAAAAACTTTACTACCTTATACAGAGTGTCTAAAAATTTATTTTAGATAATTACTAGCTTTAAACGGCAATAACTTGTTTAATTTAAATAGAACACCCTGTATATTTTATGAGAATCAGATGCACAATTTAATTGTCTATCAAATTGTATTATACCATTTTTTACCTATCTCTTAAAGTTTCCGTAGAAAGTGCATTTTCTTGTAATTCAATACTCATTTATCAATATACCCATGGAATACTGACATTTTAAATTATTTTTAAAGATGTACCAAATTTTTAAAGAGGACAGATACTAATATTGTCGATATAGTTCGTTTATTTCATTAAAAAATTAAAAATCTGTTTAAATATTTTTTGTTAAAGAGGACCAATTAATATGATTTCAGTATTCAAACTACATTAATTGACTGTTTGCGTTGATTAATAATATTTGCTCCAAATACTAGAAAACTGAATTATGTATGTGTATTAGACAGTGTGGTTAAAAGTAACACTGAACCAACTAACAACTTTTTTGACAAATGGTTATTTATAATAACAGAGACGTTCATTTTCATAACTTATTATTATATTGATTTTTGATTCAAATCCACATTTATTTAAAATAATTCATTAACCGAACACAATTAAGTAGGTACGTAGTTAATTAGGATTTGGGCAGAAATACTGGTGGTATATTTAATTAATGGTATGCTCTTTTATAAAGATTTAAGTAAATAGTTTTCTTTTTGCATACAAATGGGCTAGTAATATTATCGTTTTACTAAAAACGATAATATTACTAGCCTGTACATTTTGCACATTTGTTGTTTTAAAAACAATCTAAAATGTCAATATTCCATGGGTATATTGATAAATGAGGTCTAAATTATAAGAAAATGCATTTTCTACGAAAACTTGAAGGAATAGGTAAGAAGTAGTATAATACAATTTGATAGACAATTAAATTGTGCACCTGATTCTCATAAAATATACAGGGTGTTCTATTTAAATTAAATAAGTTATTGCCGTTTAATGCTGGTAATTATTTAAAAAAAAATTTAGACACTCTGTATAAGGTAGTATAATTTTTATTATTGCAACACAATAACTGAATCAATAAATAAACTTCAGTAAATATTTAGTATTAAAAACTTTGATATCCTCGGAGAAATGAAAAGCCTTAAAATTTATACTGCAATTTCGCAAAATTGAAAACATTTAAAAAACGGTAAGGTTAAAGTGTAATAAACCTTATCAAATTTACCTTTATTTTAATCGTAGAAACTAAAAATGCAATAATATACAGGGTGTTCCATTTAAAAAAATGCAACTTTGATATTTTTTATTTATTTGGGACACTCAGTATCTTGTAAAAATATTTTAATTGTAGCTCTAATAGTCCTTCAACGAACCCAAAACTTACAATTTGTAAATATAATCGTTGATGATTTCAGAGATATTAATAAATGGTGAACAACCCTGTATATATTTTTCAGCATTTCTTAAAAAAAAATTATTACAAATTCAAGAATCTGTCCTGAAATCAAAACTATATTAGGTATTAACTTTAGATGGTCTGTGCTTAGTTTGCTATAAATGTCGTAATCTTAAATCACACAAGATGTTCAAAATTCTACGCCAAACTTTCTAAAATATAAAATCATTTTTCTTCATTTTTTAAATGGAACACCCTGTATATTACATATATTAATTATTTAATACATGGAGAATTAAAAGATAACCATTTTTTTGTATTTAGAGTATTTCAAAATTTTTAACGGTTTCGCAGATATTCGCGGTTTTAAATTTCATATGGCCATTTTCCTCCGCAAATTTTTATCAAAGCCACACAATGAATTTTCTCTCGTATTTTACCGTTGAAAGAGCCATATATGAAATAATATTGCGAGTATCTGCAAAACCGTTAAAAATTTTGAAATATTTTAAATACAAAAAATGTTTGTTTTTTAATTCTCAAAAAAGTCTGAGTGGACCGGCATGATTTTTTTAAAATGGAACACCCTGTATATTACTGCATGGTTGGCTTCCTTTCAGATCACTTTACATAATCGTAAGATATGAGTAAATATCATAGGTAAATATATTTAGTTCCTTTATAAATAAATAAAGAATCTACATACCGGCGCGGCGGGTGCGTCTCAAAAGTGGCTCACCCCTATAACTTTTCTATTTTTTTAGATAAAAAAAACGGGATTTGGTATATTAGTATATGACATAAATTAGGATTGATTGACGTATTCAATTGTTTTTGGTCACTTCCCGTTTCACCGGAAATGACTACAACTTTTGATTTTTAAACGACACCGTCGGTATTTTTTTACTTTATTCGATAGCAAATGATACTTTGAATAGAATGACATATCATATGTTAACTTTTGACATTTTAGCATATGGCTTATTTGAAATTATAACTTGCGGTTCGTAACGAACATTTGAGTCGAAATACCAAGCGTGTGGTATCAAATTATCCGTAAAAAGATGCTTTTTCCAATTATGCTAATGAGCCACCCTCGTTCCATTTGAAAAAATTGAGATATTATTAAAAATACGATTTGAGCATTTTCTAAACGGCCAGGACAAGACAATAAAAACATTAGACGATCAAGTCTATTTTTCCAAGGCTCCTTGGTTAAGAATTAGTGTTTTTAACATAGCCAGGACACTCTAGATTGAATTTTAAAATACGATTTTTTATTAAGCGAGAATGTCAAAAGTTGACATATGTGTCATTCTATTCAGAATGTCATTTTCTATCGAATAAAGTAAAAAAATACCGAGGGTGCCATTTAAAAATCAAAAGTTGTAGTCATTTCCGGTGAAACAGGAAGTTTTTTTCCAAAAAGAATTGAATACGTCAATCAATCCTAATTTATGTCATATACTAACAAACCAAATCTCGAATTTATCTGAAAAAATTAAAAAGTTATAGGGGTGAGCCCACTTTTGAGACGCAACCGGTATATAAAATGCTAATGTTTATCTGTGTCGTCTCTACTGAAGTAACGACTTGCTCTAGAAAGTTGCTTTTTTAATAAAAGATAGCTAAATGGCTCTTCTAAAAACTGTCGTCGCCGGATTTTTTGTTTTTCATTTAATTAAAAAAAAATAAAAAGTATTTTTTTCCTGATGTCGCACAGTGCTTTGAAGGATAGGGTTTGCGGACAAAAAAGAAATAAAGCATAAAAACGGGTTTTCAAAAACATGTTTAATTAAGAAAAAATCTTGATTGTAAATAATAAATCAAATGAACTCAATCGTGAACGTAAACTAAAATAAACTTTAAGAAAAATTATCTTCTGTCTCAGAATTTTTAACTGTAAAAAAAATCCTTAAAGTTCATAAATTTTAACTAAAGTTTATTCGGCTTCTTAGAAGCCCCAACAGTATTCTCCCTGAAAATTTCATCAAAATATCTCCAGCGGTTTCGGAGTTCTCGTGACACAGACATACAGACAGAAAAAAAATCATACTAGCATAAGTTGCCAGTAGTTGCAAAAAAACTTTACAATTTCAATAGCCCAAGGTCCACATTATTTAATAAAACTTAAAGTACAAGATGTTTGGCAATGGTTGTAGAACTCAATAAAAGTTTAATCAAAGTTAATTACAAAAAATGACTAGATTATTATTTTCAGTCATTTTTTACTGCCGTGTAACTTCGTACCCAAAAATAAAATTGTATATTTCATAATGTACAAAAATAATACATACCTACCTTGGTTAGCTTCCATGGCAGGTTTAGTTTTTTTTTTAATGAAAAGGCACTTGTTGGTACGATTCGTTTTAATCACAGTAAACGATTGATAAGACAATTTTATTTCTTCTACATTTTTATCATTTTTCATAATGTTTTGTAACGATATCGAGTATCCTAACAATAAAAGTAATCCTGTTTGTGGTATTTCGATTATATATCTCTGATATAGGAGCAAAAAAAAATTTCCAGAATTTTGATTATTGTCCATATATGCGAAGCATTGTGTGTCGTGGCGGATGTGCCAGGCTTCAACTAGTATAATATATTTTTACATACAGAATATTCCGTACTCTGTGCTTTAGGTTTGCACTTATACAAGATTTCCAAGTTTTTTATTCTAGTAGCTACAGAGGCCCGACGCACCATTGCCGGACCTGTATATTATTTACACAAACGCAATTATATCAATAAGGACATTAGATGATTTAAAAAGAATGTATTTTTTTCTTTTAGTTATTGTTATATGTTTTGATTTAACGAATTATGAAAGCTTATTACATTCAAGACAATGGCTGGTGGAAGCACTTAATGCTAATAGACATACTAACCCTTTAGTTTTCTTGGTTGGTACCAAACAAGACTTGCTTGTAAGTTTATTACATAAATTACATTAATGTTTTGTTTTCAATATATCTGTATAACGTATACAATATGTTGTAGAATGATTTTTCATACAAGTGTATTTTGTCTGATGCATTTAAACTTGCCAAAGAATTGAAAGCGGAATACTGGACAGTTTCTTCCAAATCAGGAAAGAACATTAACAAATTGTTTTCTAGAATAGCCGTATTATCGTTTGATAAATTAATTAAGGAACAAAATGATGTTAAGGAGAATGTTCTACAAATCGGTGAAAGATTAGACGGTAAGTCCCGTATGATCGAAAACAAACGGCATCAAAGACGGCTGGGGAATAATGACAATCGATGATAATTTTGACAAGGTCGGTCTCTAGAGGCCCTTTACTAAAAATTGACATAAAACTTGTCAAAAACTAACACCGCAGAAAAAAGAAAAACCAAAACTAAAAAGGATAGGATGTCTCCAGACCCAAGTCTATTTCCAAAAAATATTTTTCTCGAATTTTGAGCTATACACCATTTGAAAATCCGTTTTACTCAATATAAAAATAAATTACAACGTTCTTAAGGCCAACTGGCAGTAAGCCACTAAAAAATAGATGTGAAAAATGATTGCCTACGGGCCAAATAATAACCTCTAGGGCTTGACCTCGCCAAAATTATCATCGATTGTCATTCCTCAGCCGTCTTTGACGCCTTTTTTCGGTCGTATTGTAGTTTATGCACTTTAATATAAGTCAGATTAAACATATTGCTTTTTTTAGGATTGGGGAATAGCCGCTGTAAAAAGACCAAAACGCATTTCTTGAAAAACTGTTGTTCTTAAAGATATATAAGTATTATTTTTATACAAGTACGTCGTGCTTTATCTACCATTGAGCCCCAGTATCTATTTCATTTTAGTTTTATTTGTGTTTTTCTGATCTTCATGTTGTTTGGATTAAATATATATTTTCATATTTTATGGAATATTGAAATAACTAGAGAAAATTAAATTTTATAAATTGAGATTATAAAAAAATATCTTTATTACATAAAAATATTTTATAAAAAAATAATAAAATACCTAAAAATATACAAGTGTTATTATTATAGAGATAAAGTCTGTCCAATGAATTCGGGAAGATTTCGACAGATTACATCCAGCAAATGACAGAAAATACAATTTACATGTGAATTAATACCAAAATCACAACTGTCAGCCTCATGTAGCTATCCTCTCTTGTTGGGCAGACTATACATACATATAAAAAACTATTAAAAAATATATTTATATACATCTACCAGTTCAACACAGCGGCGTGTTAATAACTTGACGCCCTTTTTTATCATAGGGTATATTATTGGGTATATATCCGGGATTCAGGAAAGGGGGGGGCTAGACACAAAATTTTACTCAAAATACATATTCCGGAGTGGTTTCTGACATAATAAATTAATAATATCGTATTACATAACTGAACCAAAAAGAGGCTTGTGCCCACGAAGAAGACCCCCCCTCAAAAACCAACCCTAACCAGACCCACGCCCCCGTGTATCTGCCACTGGCGTCACAGATGACTTGGAATATTTTATTCTTATTTTATTTTATTTCGCTGTATGAACCCACCATTAAAATGCATGCAAGAGTACAAAATTTCAAGAAAAATGGTTTACCTACCAATGTTCTTAAAAACAAACAAAATATACTATTTTTATTTACACTTTCGAGGGGTAGCTGTAACTTCCTGAGGGAACATCTATGCTCTAAGATATGTAGTAACTATTATACATTTTTATTTGTTCCGTTATCTGTGAGCAAATAAGAGTTATCACATATTTATGTGAATATAACGTGTGCTGCTGAAGAGGTTTTTCTATAATTTGATAAAAGTCTATTTAGAATACGATTATCTATATGTATAGTAGATCTAAGTAGGATAAGGTATTCCCAAAGGGTATACCCTTTGTTTGTTTTTTAAATTTATCTGCATTTGGGGCTATTTTTATGGTTATAGGTTTATCCGCCTATTGACATGATGTAAAAGTCTATATAAGATATAAATGTATATACAGGGTGTTTCAAAACAAATGCGAAAAACTTCAGGGGGTGATTCCTTGTTCAAAATAAAGGGTAGTTTGCTTTATAAACGTTGGGTCAAAAGTCAACCATTAGGGAGATATCGCGGTACAAAGATGGCGGAAAAATAATGTTTTTATTTTTTATCTTGAAAACGAAAGAGATAGACTAATGAAATTTACGGAAGCATTACTGTTATGAAAACACTTTCTGGTTTTTTTCACTTTTTTTTAAATGAGTGGAAAGGGTTGAAATAAACTACCCCTATCATTCTTGTTAATGAAATTTAAAGAAAAATCTTATCAAACACACGCAAAAAAAAAATTTGATAGCTTAGTTTATTTAGAAACTTTTTATCTCTTGTGTTTTTTGATAAACCTCACCGATTTGAAATTAAAAATAAAATGTAAAGCATTACATGTCAAGACAAAAACATTTTTAGATAAAGAATCTAGTGGGCAGCTGTAATTTTTTAGGAAAAATCTAGTCGGCCGCTGTCACTTTTAGGATGTTTCTAATATTGTTTTATTTGACATTACCTTACTGCAATAATACGTTATTATCTAGATTATTATTATTATCATTATTATCACTAGATTCTTAATCTAAAAATATTTTTAGTCCTGACATGTAATGCTTTACATTTTATTTTTTAATTTCAAATCGGTGAGTTTTATAAAAAAAATACAAGAGATAAAAAAGTTTCTAAACAAACTAAACTATCCAAATTAATTTTTTTGCATGTGTTTGATAAGATTTTTCTTTAAATTTCGTTAACAAGAATGATAGGAGTAGTTTATTTCAACCCCTTCCACTCATTTTAAAAAAGTGAAAAAATTACCAGAAAGTGTGTTTTCATAACAGTAATGCTTCCATAAAATTTCATCAGTCTATCCAAGTCTATCTCTTTTCGTTTTCAAGATAAAAAATAAGAACATTATTTTTCCGCCATCTTTGTACCGCGATATCTCCCTAATGGTTGACTTTTGATCCAACGTTTATGAAGTAAACTACCCTTTATTTTGAACATGGAATCACCCCCTGAAGTTTTTCGCATTTGTTTTGAAACACCCTGTATATAGGTGTGAAACACAGGATTTGGGCAACAGAAATTATTATCTATATCCTCAGAGAAAGTCATGATACAGAGTAAGTATGTATAATAATCTAAGTCTATATCAACTATTATTTCAAAAGCCACTTTGACGCCAATTTTTTTCGATCCTGTAGTATCTTTAGTTGCCTATACACGATGCACGATCTTACCTTTTTAATATAAAGTGTATGTTAGGCATATTTTTGTTTTACTATAATTTGATGGGTTCTGTAAGATACTTTTATATAAATACTGTAAAATAACAGGTAAATAATTACTAATCAATTACTAATCAATTTGTTCTTAAAGTTTAATTTGAACTTCTCATCTAGTCCATCTAGATATTTTGCTACCGTTTCACGTGACCTAACCCAGTCAAGGTCATTCGCTTGTTGATGACAAATGACAAAAAAACAGAGATAGAAATAGAAAGTGAGTGAGGAGAGCAGTGAGTGGTTGAGTTCTGAAGATACGTAGGTTATGATTTTTAATTTATTACAATAATTTTCGTTTTCATTTTTATTTGTCGCTTTTATAATACTTTATATTGTCGATTATATTTTTATAGTGATTGAAGAAAATCTATTGTAAGGTAATTGCCATTATTCTATTTAGATATTTCTGTTTAATATGTTTTGAGCTTTAACTTTCATTTGTTCACTTTAAAATGTAATGATCAGTGTTATCAGCATAGAGGTATTCTTTTTTCTTTTGAAATAGTTGATTTTTAAACAGTTTGAAATGCCTAATTCAATATCTTGAAATTTAATTACCCTTCTCAAATTTTCACAATTTGTTTTTGGCTACCCACATCCAATTGTTGCTAGGGGCTAGGGGTATTATTTTTTTTTCTAGTTTTGCAATTAATAAGGTGAATATTAACAATTAATATGTATTATGTCTAATCTTATTCAAATGTAAGAATTATTAGACGCGCAGTTTTAAACTTTGACCTCATCATAATTATTTCCAATTTCCAATAAATGATTTAGTACATTTTAAGTTTACAGTTTATAAAATTTAACGGAAAATATTATATTAAGGTTATATTCAACTTAATTATTGTTTAGAAATTACCTATTGGCAATTATTTAGAATATCAAAATTCCAAACAGAAAATAATTGCTAATAATTAATTGCTAGAAACCAAAGATATTTAAAATATCTTTGCTAGAAACTATCAAGTATCTACATAATAACACATACATAGGTACTTGCGATATAAATATAATATACTTAATAATAATATTTATATTAATAAGTAATGTTTTTTGTTCAAATGTTTTGTTAAAACATTTATTTTTGTTTCTGTCTGTATGTATAATTTTAGTTTAGGCACAGGTTTAGGTAAATATTTTTGCGATTTTTAAAACTGAATGTAATTTACATAGAGTAGGTACCTAATGGAAATTGAAATGTTTCATAATTTACATATAGCATATCATGATCATGATATTCCTGGTGGGTAACCTGGTTAAATTCAATTTTAAGTATAAAATTTACTTTTATTTTTGTGTTGTATAGCTCGTTTAGTACCTAATTGATCTCTGAAAAATATCGTGTGCGTCTTTTTTTTGTCAGTACTTAGATATGAATTATATTTTCAAGGTTAAAACTAATAACAAAAATTACAACGGAGCACGGAGTGTGTAGCAAAACATCCTTAATGCATCTGGTAATCATACCTACATACATATGTATATACCGGGTGCGTCTCAAAAGTGGCTCGCTCCTATAACCTTTTTATTTTTTCAGATAAAAAATTGAGATTTGGTATTTCAGTATATGACATAAATTAGGATAAATTGACGTTTTCAATTGTTTTCGGCCATTTCCTGTTTCACCGGAAATTACTACAACTTTTGATTGTTAAATGGCACTCTCGGTATTTTTTTACCTTATTTGATAGAAAATGACACACTGAGTAGAATGACATATCATATGTCAACTTTTGAGATTCTCGCTTAAAAAAATCGTATTTTTAATTTCAATCTAGAATGCCATGGCTGTGTTAACTGCACTAATTTTTAACCAAGGGACCTTGGAAAAATAGATTTGATCGTCTAATGTATTTCGTGTCTTGTCCTGGCCGGTTAAATTAAAAGATAGCCAAATCGTATTTTTACACATAATAGAGAACAACGGCATACGGTCGAGTCGGCTTACAAACACGTAAACCTTTACGTACGCATGCGCATTTCTTATATTTTTATTTTTTATACACTTAAAAGATTCTTTACGTCTACGTCTACGTGCCAGCAGCGGCCGACTCGACCGTATGCCGTTGTTCTCTAATAATATCTCAATTTTTTCAAATGGAACGAGGGTGTAATTCAAAAATCAAAAGTTGTAGTTATTTCCGGTGAAACAGGAAGTGACTGAAAAGAATTGAATACGTCAATCAATACTAATTTATGTCATATATACTAACATATCAAATCTCGTTTTTTATCTGAAAAAATTAAAAAGTTATAGGGGTCAGCCACTTTTGAAACGCACCCGGTTATATAATACCTGGTTTATATTATTTCATTGTGTATTATGTATGTAGGTACTAGTATTAGGTTTTTTGAGTTATACCGTATGATCGAAAAAAAATGGCGTCCAGTTGGCTTGGAAATGACGATCGATGACATTTCCCATATAATTTTTACGTATAAAATGACAGCGATCTTCATTTCATAGCCATCGCTGACGCCATTTTTATTCGATCATACTGTATTACTTTTCGGGTATATAATTTAAGCTTCATTCAGAACCTCGCAATTAGTGTAGAAGTTTGTTCCTTTAATTTCAATGTAAGCATTCAGAACG